GGGCAGGCGGGGATCGAACTCATGCAGAAGTGGCTTAAGCTTCTTAGTGCAGTGCTTTAACCCGTTGCGCTACCAGGGAGGGCCTCTCTCTCTTTTTTTTTTAACACAAGCAAAGAAATTAATACCACACTGATTAGTAAGAGTAAAAGAACAAAGTTAATTCCATACATGTGGGTAAATTCTAGAGTAAATAAGGCAGACTAAGGATTTTTATTTGCACTGATGAATAGGATAAGAACCAGGGGCATCAAATAGGGAGGAGGATATCACATGATGAGAAGAGAGTGACATATGTGACAAACCAGAAATTGTAGATATTTCCCCTGCCATAAGGTAGGCTTCTTGGATTAAGAGTATTTTTGGAGATGATCCTCAGTCTGGGTAACTTTTACTGTTTAAGATAATGGTAACAGCTTCACTTGAAGCCCAGAAGGCCCTGATTGACCTTAGCTCTACTTGGCAAATTGTCATTTATTAGAAAAAGACTGCTCTGGACATCCTGAGAAGGTCTACCTTTCATTATCTTTGTGAAAGAAATATATTTTTGCATAGGAACAAATCTTAATAGATTGAATAAGACTAGACCAAAAAAGAAAAGGTGGGTGGTTTACTTTTGGAAATCTAAGTGGAACCTTGTTTGTTTGCAGAGATGCTATCATTTCCAATGGTTTTGATTCTCTTCTTGGTTTGTTTGTTTTTTAAGATTTATTTATGCATATAAGAACTGTGGTGTAGGCCAGAGGTGCAGGGGGAGAGTGTGAGAGGATTCACCAGAAACAGTGGCCAACAGAACAGGCAGATTGATTGCAATACACTGCTGAGGGCAGCAGCAGTAAAGTCTGCTGTGCCATGTGGGTCACCTCCTTGGCTGGGGATCAAACTTATGCCGTAGTGGCTGCCCATAGCTTCGTACTGCTGCGCTTTAGCCCCTTGCGTCACCAAGGAGGACCCTCTCTTCTTGGTTTTATAGCTCCTTTATTATTAATTTCCTATGTAGATTCTTGTAATGAGTCTTCTTTTTCCTACTTCTCTTTTTAAACTGTATTCTGCACAGGTCCAGAGTCTTCTGCTCAGTCCTTCATGCTCCTTCCAGTTTGAATTCTTGGGTTTGTAACACTGTCCTCTCATGTGATCATCCTCCCTACCCTTCCCTTTTCAGGCATCTCACTGATCTAATCTACTTCCTATTTGTGCCACTTTTTTAAAGCTTCAGCTAGAGTTTAGTTCTTTGTGTGTGTGTGTTTTGTTTTGTTTTAAATCAGCTGAGATTCTTCTAAAAAAGATTACTTTCAGGTATTTCATTTCAGGCAATCATTTTATATCGAATTTTTTCTATCTAAATACAATTACCTGTATTGTTTGTTCTAGTCCTTAAGAAAAAAAAAATTTGTTGGTTTACTGGTCTTCAACTGGGGTGATTTTGTCTTCAATGAACATTGTTAATTTCTGGAGACAGTCTGGGTTGTCACAGCTGGGGGCGTGCTTCTGACATCTAGTGGATAGAGACCAGGGATGCACCTAAACAACCTACAAAATTCTACTGAGTTATTGTTAAAGATCTTAGTTTTATTTAATGATTCTTGAGTAGTTATCTAACAGACAGAAAGGAGCTCTGAGGAGCTGTACAACATGAAGGACTTTTATAGGTAGACAGGACCAGGAATAAGGAAGTTATACTTGGAAAATGGGAATTGGTGTGGCAAGGTCACTTTCCACTAGGTCATGGCAGGATTCTTTTAGACAGATGAGTGCACTAGTGCTGATCAGGTGATTCCTGATTGACTGGATTAAGATTCCATTTCTGAGAGATATTGAAGCTGTCATTAATGCAGGACCCTATTTGGAGAAGGAGAAGGGGGGTTTAGGATAAGTGATTCCATTTGGGCCCTTTGTCTTGTTGTTAATATCCACCACAACTAAAATTTACCTCAAAATCCGAAATTGAAAAGCCCTGTTTTAAAGTAACGCCATGAAGAGCACCCCATTTCTTTCTTCAGGCAGTAGCATTTAATTTGGCCTTGAGTAATGAATAAAACTGATAGGAGATAACACGGAGGGAAGCACATAGCCAAGGCAGTTACAGGACTGTATTGTTATTTGACTTTATTCATGTGCCTCTGTCCTGACTTACAGATTAGACAAAGCAACTAGAGAATTTTTCTTAGAAAATATGAAGATTTGTTGTCAATAATTGCTAGAGAGATAAACACTTTTAAACCCTGCCTTTTTCTTCTTTTAGGTACCCATTTGATGTAACCCGTCGGCGAATGCAATTAGGAACTGTTCTTCCAGAATTTGAAAAGTGCCTGTAAGTTCTTCATAATGTCATTGTTCATTTTCTTTAGGTAATATAACCTTTCAATTAAGTAGGAATATAGGGCTGTAGTTCACCTGTCGTCTAGACCTTCCCTTGACCTCTCTTAACATATTTTTATAACTTTATGTAAGATTTTAATCATGTCTCAGTCCTTCTATTAAAAATTTCACTTTAAAGCAGGTCCATTAATTACAAGCTTAATGTGAACCACATTTGTAACTACAAATGTTCTGGTAGCCACATACTTAAAAAAGTGTAAAAAGAAATGAGCTAGAACAATGCTGAAAGTTCCATTTGGCTTTAGTTTCCTTATTACAGCTGACCCATAGAAAACAACTGCTTGATAGTTTTGGGTGCAATATTAAAGAATGCAGATTATAAAGGCTATAAGCGTGTTTCTTTTATCCACATAAAAACCTATATATGTATGTGAGATTGCATTTTCATGACATATTTAAACCAAGACACTATAGCTTAAAAACAAACAGAAGATAGAAGTAGATATGCAACTTCAGCTGTCCACTGAACAGATAGACATTAAAGAGGCTTGCAATTATAAAACAGTGCCAGACTTTGTCCTCCATTTTTTTTGCTTTGATAAATTAGTTCTCATACAAGTATCATTTATATAGCCATGTAAGAAGTGTATTTTCAAATGAAAAATATTTCAAAAAATTTGTCTGTTTCTCGTGGTATATTGATAAATCAAAGAAAATAACCAGATGCAATTGTTTTAAAATATTTAATATATCTAAAATATGTTTATATCAGCATTTCAAATTTCACATCTTTTTTTGGTTTAATAAGCTTTTGAAATCTAGGGCAGATTTTATATTCACAGTATATCTCAGTTTGGTTTTGTCACATTTCAAGTGCTTGGTAGCCATATATGGCTAGTGGTTACTATTATCATACAGCATAGTTTACTTAGGAAAATGAATTATTCTTTTGACTGATGATGTCCCCCAGGGACAGAGCAGATTGGTTGTTCTGACCTCAGTTTCTTTGTTTTCCCAAAAGAGTTTTTGAAGATTTCAGCCCATATTGTCTACTAAAAGGGAAAGTCAAAGCCTTTTATGTTGTTTTCAAAAGAAAAAATACTGCTTGAAACAAGAAAAGCCTTTATTGTTGAAATAAAAATATTGTCCTTCAAGCATTAGTTCCATAACCATTTACTAGTTATGTAAAGAACTTGAGTTAAAATAAAAATTTAAAAGGGTAACTGCTCATATATCCTTTGAAAAGATTACATCATTATTTCAAATATTATAATAAAATAGTTTCCAATAAGTATCACAGACTAATATAAGCAAAATATATTGCTTTTTTGAGCCCCACTTTTCTCTGTATAACACTTCTACCTGTTTGAAAAGAATTGCTGTTTTATTGTGCATTTTTAGTTTGTTTTAACATGACCTTTCAAAAGGTATTTAGAATGACATTTTAGCTTCTTTGAAAAATGCAATTATGTGTACCTATAAATCTCTCTTTATGTGGGCATGCAGATTTCATCATCTAACTGTTGTCTTTCAGTACCATGCGGGAGACTATGAAGTATGTCTATGGACACCATGGAATTCGAAAAGGATTATATCGTGGTTTATCTCTTAATTACATTCGTTGCATTCCCTCTCAAGCAGTGGCTTTTACAACATATGAACTTATGAAGCAGTTTTTTCATCTCAACTAAAAAAGTTGTGATTTATTTTCATTAATAAACTCTCAGAGAGAGAAATAAAATGTTAACTTTAATTTTGGGGGGAACATTACTTGAAGGGGGACATTTACTTGGTCACATGAACCACTGGTATTTTAGTACTTGATTTTTTATTCATCAAAAATCTTTTGATTTTGATGCCAAAAGTTAGAGCATTGAAATAAATTCCTAAGCTGATGTTGGCTAATCAGGTTACTTGAAACTATTTTAAAGTGGTATTTGGAGGTAGAAATAGCTGCAAAATGGGATTTAAGAAATTACCATTTGCTTTATCATGCTGTTCCAAGCATTTAATTGTTATCATGATTTTCAAAGACTTACACATAGGTTATTATATAGTAAACAGACTTGGTTATATTGCAGTGGAATGATGAGAACTCAATTTTAAAGTTCTATAAAACATTGCTGAGAGGCCGGCACTGAATTATTATTCTTATTATCTCTCGTTATTCTATTTCATTTGATAAAAGGACAAACACCTTTTCTCTTCATTTTGTAATAACATATGTGTTGTATTTAAAAAGTAGTGACTGAACAACAAATAAAGAATTTTCAGGTATTGCTCAATTGTTACTACCAGGTACTATGAATGATTTAAATTGTTTTTAAAATTCAGTGCATTTCTCAAGATTAGTAATGACAAACACTGATATCTTTGCTGTCAAACCTGATTAGCTTTAGAGATTTGTTTTTACTAGATGATTTTGGTGTATAATAGAAAATTTACTTAAATGGACTGTGAAATATCCATTAATATAGATGTGAATGTCAAAGAATGTTCCTAAGGTATATGATACATCAACTAGTTCTTCCATGTAAAGTAATTTTAGTGCAATATAAACTAAAGTAGAAATGTAAGACATGATTTTAATGGTTATCCGTTATATTAAGATGGTTTAAAAATATAAGAATTCCATTTATTATGTTTAGAGTACTTGTTATATTTTATTATAAGCATGGTGGGTGGGAGGAGAAGAGTTAAATCCTCAGAAATAGTGATTTGTAGAATTGATGTGAGTTAATAACTTAGGTAACTAAGTTGAAAGTATTATTTTTGCTTCAAGTTTGATTTTTTTGAATACAAATTTCTTGTCATACTTTTGTAAAAATTACATGAACAGGTTTCTTTTTAAAGTCTTTATTTTAAAATAAATATGTATCTTTGTATGATTTACAAGTGTACCCCAGATAGAAATAGATGTTTTCTTAAAACTATTTTGTATATATTCATTTCTAGGTTTCACTCTATCTAATATTGTTATCAACTCAAAATAATTTAAATGTATTAAATAAGTATCTCAGTTATGTTACCAATAAAATGATTGCAAGTATTTTTTAAATGAAAATTGGCATTCTATGTTATAGAATACATGGAATATTAAAATAAATTTTACTTGTATCTCAACAGTTCTTTAACTGTTTACATTATTGAGCTCAGATGCTGAAGATAAGCAATCAGAATAGATGAAAATTTAAAATAATCACTGTATTTATATCTTATTTATTTCAGATCGATAATCCAAAATAAATCTTGCCAGGTTATCTTCCATTTGAAGATTGAGTATTTGTTTTGATCTTCATTGTTATTCTTCCCTGCCTTTTGATGGACACAGTCCTCTGATCTATGGAATGGGATAATGGTCTGGTCTAGGCATTGATTGGTAAGGTGCTACTCTCAGCTCTGAATGGGAACGTGTATGGTGTTGAGACATTTGTGGGTAGATATGCAAATGTCTGAGGTAATTATATCTCACATCCTTTGCTATCAGAGTCCTCAATGTCAATTATTCCTTTGTGTGTCAGACATTATATCAGTATTACGGAGAGTGTGGGCAGTCTGTTAGCTGTACTTAGGCCTGATTTGGATGCCCAAATAGCCTCTAACATCAGGTTTTTCTCTAATATATCGCCACACTTTATGGTGACTGCCTATTACCTATGTTCCCCTACTTGATTCTTACAAGAGAAGAGCCACATTTTTCACCTGTTGTAAGAAGCACAGGGTGGGGTCTCCCTTGAGAAGAATGGCCCCGGTGAAGACAACGGGGTTACTTAGGGGGTAAGTCTCAGTGCTATCACTGGTAAGGCTTGAGTTGGATCCCCAACCCCCAACCAGGGAACTGACCCACATAGCACAGCAGACCTCTCCTGTTTCTCCCTCTGTTTCCCTCAGCAGTGTATTCCAGCGGATCTGCCTGTTCTGCTCCCTACTTTGTCTCTGGTGAATCCTTTTACCCTCCCCTCCCACTTCTGGCCTGCATCCCAGTTTTTCCTTGGAAAAATTAATAAAAGAGGGCTCCCTGGTGACACGGTGGATTAGAGAGCTGTACTGCGAAGTGAAGTTCACTCCATGGCCACTTCATTGCTAGTTTGATCCCTAACCTGGAGGTGACCCATGTGGCACAGCAGACTTCTTCTGACTCACCCGCTGTTCCCTCAGCAGTGTACTTCATTTATCTTCCTGTTCTGCTCCCCATTCTGTTTCTGGTGAATCCTCTCACCACCCCTGCACCTCTGGCCTGTACCCCATTTCTATATGCATAAATAAAATCTTAAAAAAAAAAAAAAGAAGATTTGGCCCATATCTTCACTCAGGCTTTAAAAAAAATTTAAAAAAGGAAAAGCACAGGGTATGGCATGATAATGGATGTTTATGATGGAAAGAAGGAAATCTGACTTGTTTTTGGAGACATGTTCTAGTAGGGGGAAATGAGGCACAAATAATTAAGAGAAAGAGAAATTTAGGAAGTTATTTGGTTTGTTTCACAGAAATGTCTTGTGTCTAATTTGAGTCTGAATCAATGGCAAGTAATAAAACCCACTTTATATGAATAATGTTTTGATTATAGAACTGGACCATTACACTATAGCAAAGATACACTTTTATGCTTCCTCACATCCATTCTGTGAATACCAGGCACAGACATGGTGTTAGACATTAGAAATCAATGACAATAAGTCGTGTATGTTTCCTAAGGACTTACTATGTTTCATACCTTGTTAATTTTAAGTGCTTTTTATGTCTTAACTTCTGTTTCAATGACAATATTGTAATAAGTGTACTTAATAACCTTTTGTTACAGATGGGATAATTTAGACACAGGGAGATAAAGTACTTGCCCAAGTTCACACAATAAATGTTGAATTAGGATTCAAATTCAGTCAGTCTGAACCTACAGTCTATGCCACTACAGCTTACTTCTGCTTGCCATGTAATAGTTCAACACTGTAGTATCCTATTCAAACAAAATTCTTTAACATGTCAAATTTGAAAATGTCAATAAATATAAGCCAGTTAATAAAATACAGTGTGGAAAGTGTTCATGAAGGAAACAGATTACACAATAGAGAATAGTTTTAGAGTATGAGGATGTTCAAGGAAAAATTTCTTTGATGTGCTGTACTTTAAGACATGAAAGATAAAAAGGAAACAGCCGTTCAAAGAGGGGTGGGAGAAGAATGGCCCAGATGAAGACTACAGTAAGTTCAAGCTCCTGGAACAGAAAAAAACATTGTCAGAAGGTCAATGTAAGTGAAGCTTTGTGAGTGAAAGAGCAGCTAGTAGGGTGGGGGTGTGGACAAAGGCTAGATCACAGAGGGCTCTGGGACATACAATAATGACTGTCTTTTATTTTACACACAATGGAAAGCCCTGCAAGGTTTTGGTGGGGGGAAGTAAAGTTGATTACGTGTTTACAAAAATCACTGCTTGGTCCTCCCTGGTGGTATATCAGATTTGAGCTCCACACTGTGAAGTTATATGAAGCCACTGCAGCACTGGCTCGAACCCCAGCCAGGGAAGTGACCCACATGGCACAGTAACAGACCTCTCCTGTCTTGCCCACTGTATTTCAGTCAGTCTGCCTGTTCTGCTCCCCACTGTGTCTCTGATGAACTTTTTTTTTTTAAGATTTATTTATTCATACAGAACTGGGGTACAGGCCAAAGGTGCAGGGGCGGTGAGAGGCTTCACCAGAGACATAGTAGGGAGTAGAATAGGCTGACTGATGAAGTACACTGCTGAGGGGAGCAGTGGGTGGGTCAGGAGAGGTCTGCCACATGGGTCACCACTGGGGCTGGGGATCGAACTCATGTGGAAGCTGAGGTGGCTTGAAGTGGCTTTAGCTTCTTAGTGCTATGCTTTAACCTGCTGTGCCACCAAGGAGGGCCCTCTGGTGAATCTTTTTACCATCATCACTTCCCCCCTGCACCTTTGGTCTGTATTCCCTCCCCACCCCACTTCTTGTATGCATAAATAAATACATCTAAAAAAAGAAAGATCACTCTGCTTTATCATTAAGGATTTGTAATTAAAACAGTTAACAATAAAAAGCAGTCAATAGAGAAAATAACAAACTTAAAAAAAATTGGTTGTTAAAAAAGATCTATACTGGGGCCCTCCCTGGTGGTGCAGCGGGTTAAAGCACTGCACAAAGAAGCTTAAACCACTTCTGCATGAGTTCCCGCCTGCCCTGAGGTGATCCACATGGAGAGGCAGACCTCTCCTGACCTGCCCGCTGCTCCCTCAGCAGTGTACTTCGTTGATCTGCCTGTTCTGCTCTCCGCTCTGTCCCTGGTGAATCCTCTCACCCTCCGCATCTCTGACCTGTACCCCAGTTCTGTACGAATAAATAAATCTTAAAAAAAAAAAAAAAAGATCTGTACTGAACTAAAAGGAAGGAATACAAATTACCAACATCAGGATGACAGGTAGGACATTACTATGGATCCTATGCTATTATAGGAGATGACAAGGAAATTTGTAAATAACTGTTTACTAAGGAATTTAACAAATTAAATGAAATGGACAGATACTTTGAAAGTCACAACCAAAATTGACTTGGATGAAATAAAATTTGGATAGTCAATGAAATTAAATTTATCAAAAATCCCACAAAGAAAATTTCAGGCTCTAATGGTCAATTACACTGAACACCTAAGAAATAAGTACTCTTATACAAACTTTGAGAAATTAGATGATAGTACTTCCCGACGCAATTCATTTAATGATGCCAGTATATCCTCTACATGCAAAGATGGGGAAACTCATTAATGTTAATACTGCCAGGTCAAGTCCAATAATACATAAAACTTTTATCTATAAAAACACACATACATTATTGTATCATTACCAGTTACGCTTATCTTAGGAATTGGTTAACAATCTAATTTCAGTAGTGTAATTTATCATAAAAACAGAATAAGAGAAAAACTACATGAATTCTCAGTAGATGTAGAAAAAACACTTGACAAAATTCAACATTGTTTCATTATAAAAACTAGTCACATTTAAAAAGAGACCTTTTACAGTTGTCTAAAGGACATTTTATTATTTTCCAACAAGACATCTCATTCTTTTCTCATAGTCATTGACACTCATCCCCTGAGGAGTTAGAAGCAGCTTTCCCTCCTAGTGAAGCTTAGTAGGCTTAGTAGCACTGTGAGTGCTGTGGAAGTGATGCTATGTGACTTCTGTGCAGCAGTCATAACACTAAATTTGCTTCCATCTGGTCTTTTGGAACACTTGTGCTGGGAATCCAGCCACCATGCTGTGAGGAAGCCAAGCAGTCCCTGTGGAGAAATTGATAGCCAACCCTTTGAGTAAGCCAACTTCAGAGTGGATCCTCCAGCCCCAAACTGATGCTTTGCAGAAGAGAAGCTTTCCCCACTGAACCTGCCAAAATTACGGATATATAAGCTAAAAAAAAAAAATTGCTTTAAGACACTAGATTTTGGTAGTTTTTGTTTTTTTACAAAGCACTAGATGACTGCGAACAGATAGTCATAAGAAATCTATAGCTAGCTTACTTAGTGGTGAAATATTGAATGACCATATAGAAGGTAAGGATGCCCAGTTTCACAAATAGTTAACCAGTGAACTTAGGTAAGGAAATGAAATAAAAAGCATAAATATCAGAAAGATAGAAAAAAATAATGTATTAATGTTAATACTGCCAGGTCAAGTCCAATAATACATAAAACTTTTATCTATAAAAACACACAGATACATTATTGTATCATTACCAATTACGCTTATCCTAGGAATTGGTTAACAATGTAATTTCAGTAGTGTTTTTGTTTGGATGGAATGATGTTAGGTAGGAAATCTTAGTGTATCCACATCACTACTAGAAATTATAAGTGAATTTAGTAAGGCCTGTGAGATTGGGGGTAATCTATATGTTACAGGGCACCCCAGTGTGAATTGGGTTGCCTGTCTGTAGGTCCTTACCCACGTGCTTATGATTCAGTTGTATTATAGACACACACAAAAGGTTCAATAATGGATTTATTTATAAGGAGAAAGGTAAAGGAATAACCCAGGGAAAGGGAGAGAAATACAAGGTAAGCTAGAATGTCCTTCCAGTTCTGCTGACTTGGACTCCACTAGTGTGATCGAGAGCCTAAATGACCAGCTGCGAACCACCAGGCCAAGAGAGCCCCAGAGCCCACATGTCCAGTTTTATCCTAACCTGGCTGCTCAGCTCCGCCCTCACGACCCAGCGTGCTTCTCCTTGTTATTGATGGGATTAGTAGTTCCAGTGTCTGTAGTGGGGGCCGAGTCCATGAGATCTGTACCTGTTAACATATAGGCAAAGTTTTATTTTTTCCCCAAGAAGTTGCTCATTTTTATATGCATAAGCATGAATGTGAAAGACAATTCTTTTTATGTTTTTATAATAGATTGTTTCTATGTGGCTTGATAAGTTTAGGAAGTAACCTTTCTAATATTTTTAATATTCTGTAGTGTATTCAAAGGATAAATTAATTTTTTAAAAATTTTATTTATGTTTACCGATCTTGGGGACAGGCCAGAGAAGTGGGTGAGAGGATTCATTAGTGACAGAGTGGGGAGCAGAACAGGTAGATTGATTGCTGAGGGGGACAGCGGGAGGGTCAGAAGAGGTCTGCCATGCCATGTGGGTCAGCTTTCTGGCAGGGGATTAAACTCGTGCTGTAGTGGCTTTGGGGAGCTTCATAATGATGTGCTTTAACCTGTTGTGCCACCAGGGAGAACCCATAAGTTTAATTTTTAAAGAAAAACAAAAGATAAGTAAATAGGAGTTGATATTGAAAATAGCCTTAAAATCATTTGTTTAAAGATGGTTGTTCTGGATGGTAGCCAAGCAACCGTCTTTCATTTTGGAGTTAAGCTCTGTCAAAGTAGCATCTTTAAAAGATAAGGGTTACTGGAGGCCCTCCCATGGCACAGGGGCCTGAAGTTATAAATGACACAGATTAGATCCCCAGTGCAGGAGGTGACCCACATGATGAGGCAGACCTGTCCTCACCCACCCACTGCACCCCTCAGCAGTGTATTTCAGTGGATCCGCTTTGTTTGTTCCATACTTTGTCTCTGGTGAATCCTTTTACCACCCACACCCTCTACCTGTACACCAGTTCTTGTATGCATAAATACATAAATCTTTTTTTAATATTTTATTTTTATTTATGCATATAGAACTGGAGTACAGGAAAGAGGTGTGCAGGGGTGGTGTGTGTGTGTGTGTGTGTGTGTGTGTGTGTGTGTGTGTGTGTGTGTAGGACTCACCAGAGATAGAATGGGGGAGCAGAACAATCAGATGTACTGAAATACACTGCTGAAGGAAGCAGCGGGTGAGTCAGGAGAGGTCTGCTGCGCCATGTGGGTCAGCTCTTTGGGGATCAAATTTGTGCTGCAGTGGCTGCAGTAGCTTCATTGTGCTGTGCTTTAACCAGGGCCACATTACAAACCTGGGAGCAACCCTACTACACAGTGACTACCATCATTTCTTGATGATACAAGAAATTAAGGGAGTAACTAAAGAATCGGTGTCTTTAAGAAAGCTAAATGCCTTGTGATCCTGAGAGCCAATGAAAGGACTGCCCAATGATAAACAGAAAAGCTTTTTATACAGTTGAAAGTGTAGAAAGGGGTTGTAAGGTAAGCACAGGTACTGGATTCAGTCGTGGTATTGGAAAACCAAACTGACGTCATGCAGACTTCAGAATGCTTCTGAAGCAGCCAGGCCTAAGTTTCGGTTATCAACAAGGCGCCAAAGCTGAATAAATGTCCTAATCTTGCTCGTCCCATAGCAACAGCCAATTAGCAAGTAGACAAGTAACTAGTACATATCAGGAAAAAGCCAGGTGTCCTAAGGTATGCGGCCTAGAAGTGAAGTCACATCTTATCAGGTTAAAACAAGATAACTTTGTTCAATGTACTGCTGAGATAAAACTCCCCTCTGCTGAGCTGAAACTCCCCCCTTCTGTAATAAAAACCCTGCTCTTCCTGAGTTCAGGGCTCTCAACTTCAGCTGCCACTTGGGTGCATGTTGGGAGCCCAGGCTCAAGCTTGCAATAAAGAGACCCTAGTGTGTTTTGCATCGGAATCAGCTGGCGCCTTGGTAGTCTTTGGGAAACTCGAAACCTGCCACAACATTTTCATGGAGTACTATAGCTTCTGATAGCTTCTGTTTTGTCTTAAGAAAAGAGGGAGGAACGGTATTTCAGAGAAAGCAAAATTCCTGTCTTTCTCCTGGCTTAACAAAGACACCTGGCTTTGGGCAACTGCATACAGTTGTGCTCAAATTAAGTGTTTGCATTGATGGGTGAGGGTGTGGGGTGGAGGGGGGCTGTTAGGATGCCCAAAGAGAAGACAATATTGTTGGTCAGAGCCAGATGATGGACTGACTCTTCCAGTTTCGCAAGCTCTGAGAGGTGGGTCAAGGGCTCCTGCAGCCGGGCTGCAGCCTCTCACACAGCAACACGTGCAAGCCGCAGGCGCCGGAAGGGTCGCGCGCAGGGCTCCTGGATACTGCGATCTGCGCATGCGTGCGCGCTGGGCGGGCTTGTGCTCTTTTTTCTGTGTTACTGGGGTCCACTGACTTTTCCTGGTGACAGTTTGCGATCTCAGCGCCGAGGATGGAGCCACTGGATGATCTGGAGCTGCTGCTCGAGAAGAGTTTCAGGGAGGAGGCTGGGCAGCTAGCGGACCTGTGAGCTGTGCGCGGGTTGGGTCGGAGGGAAGCGGGAGATTTGAAAGAAAGCGGGAGAGGCCACACTCAGCCTCCTCGAAACAAAACTTGATGGTGTCCTGGGGGTCTCTTTGGGGTCGTGCCCAGGCCGGAATCCGAAGACTCCCTCGCCCAGAAGTTCAACTTTTTCTCTTGATTTCACTTTTCCCGAGCCTGGGGAGTCCCGGCCGCTGTATAAAAGGGAATTGCAACTGTCCCAACGCTTTTCTCTTGTTTGTTTGGAATTTTTTCCCAGTAGAGCGGTGAGCCCTGACCTATGTGCAGTTATTTTCAGTGTTATAATGATGCTAATTTTTGACGGAGTTTCGCATTTTGGGGTTTTGATCTGAAAAGCATTTGGGGAGATCCTTAAGGCGTCCCCAGCCCGCGTAGGGAAATTCATAGCCTGAGGATACGGTGGGTGAGTGAGCGAGGAGGTCACAAAATACTAGAACCTAAGATTGGACGACAGGTAATTTTATGGTCATGTGAAAGGCATTTGGTGTAATAAATTGAAAAGATTATACTTGTTTTTGGATTATCACTGATAAAGACAATCGTTAAGAGGAGGACCTATTGGGAGAATTGTTTTCTAGGAGAGATCAGAGTACTTTGCATAATTTCAGGCAGCTAACATTAGTGCATAAGGTATTGTGAAATTCCTTCAGAGTTACTCCGAAGGAATGAGCTACAGTAACTGCAACTAAATTTGCTTTCTTTACAAAGCAAAGACTCGATGGTCCCCAGCGAAATTTTACAGAAGTATTTTCTGTACTAAATATTCAATATCAGATTAGACGAGAAGATTTCTAAGTACACTGCTAATTTAAAGATTAATAATTCTATGGCTCACAGTTGGACTTCCAGGAAATCACCCACACTACCTCATAACCGACATCGCTTTTATTTACAGTGCTCAAAGCATCTCTTTTTGTACTTTGTGGAGGTTTGCATCATTGGTAGGAATTTGTTTAATATTTTTCAGTTTATCTTTAATCCTCACAATCATGGATTTTCCACGGAGCTCCTCCAGGAGCTTATATTTAGAAAAATCCATAATGCTTATCTATTTTAGCTGAAAGTCATTGTGATAAACTTTTCAGAAAAAACAAACCTATGAAAGTAAGAAGGTTGGTTTATAACTAAAGGGGATTAGGGGGCTTTTGTCATTGAGTTTTGTATGTGTGTGTTTCAGATATCACAAAAAGATGGAAGCTTCATTTTCAAAAACAGTTCTTTGCAGAGGAATGGATAATAGGTTCCTGGTATTAGAAGTCAATATTGTACAGAATGAAGATGGAAAACATGAAAAGCACCTGATCATCACTGCTTCCCAGTCACAAGAGCTTAAGGAACAGTGTATACTTAGGGATAGCTGGTAATTTTTGTGGTAATTTTTGTAATTTTTGTGATCTGAACTATCTTAAAATCATAATAGGGGTTTGTGTGGATGTTGCTATAATTTAATTGTTAATCAAAGGAATATCAAAGGTTTGAACCTGAATGAATTCTACATGAAAATTGTGTTGTTACCCCAGCATTTCAAATCATACTCCAAAATTTCATTCTTATTGTCATTTAAAAAATCACTCCTTAGGGGCCCTCCCTGGTGGCACAGGGAGTTAAAGCACAACACTGAGAAGCTGAAGCCATTTCAGCATGAGTTCGATTCCCGCCTGCCCCAGAGGGATCCCACATGGCGCGGCAGACCTCTCCTGGCCCGCCCGCTGCTCCCCTCAGCAGTGTACCTCGTCAGTCTGCCTGTTCTGCTCCCCGCTCTGTCACTGGTGAAGCCTCTCACCGCCCCTGAGCCTCTGGCCTGTATGCACAAATAAATAGATCTTTAAAAAAAAAAATCACTCCTTAAATGACTCCTATTTCCCAATATGTTCTGTTTGAAATTGCAACTTAAAACTCATCTTAGTTCTCACTAAAAGCAAAATTAATTATAACAGAAGAACATTTTAATTTTATTTTTAAAAAAGATTTATTATGTATATATAAGAGCTGGGGTATAGGCTAGAGGGGTAGTGGGGTGAGATGATTCACCAGAGATAGAATGGGGAGTGAAACAGGCTGATGGAACTGCCTGTTGGACCACTGCTGAGGGGAGCAGTGGGTGATACTGGAAAGGTCTACTGAGCGATCTGGGTCAACTCCCTGGCCAGTCTTGGAACTCCTGTGGCAGGGGCTGACCAATAGCTTCATACTGCTGAGACTTAACCACTTGCACCACCAGGGAGGCCTAATAAGAACATTTAAGACTACAGATTTCTCCATTCAAGTAAAGTGTAGTATGTGAAGAAGGAAGTGGAAAGGCATGGAAGGTGGAGTTTTAACTTTATCTAGACTGTCTGCATTTAATTAGAACTAGATAAATAAGATTTTGTTCTTGCCACACTGGGTTTGGCTTCATGCCTCAGAGCTTATAGAAGCTGTTGATCTATTGTAAATCTTAAGAATGAGAATTAAGGGCCTGCCTGGTGATCTAGGGATTAAGCTTCAGTGCTACCAGTGCAGTGGCCTGAGTTCAAGCCCTGGCCTTGGAGCTAACCCATCAGACCTCTTTTCTTTCACTCTTTGCTCCCCTCAGCAGTGTCTTTCAGTAGATCCACCTGTTCTGTTTCCCATTCTGTCTCTGGTGAATACTCTCACTCCCCCTCCCCCCCAGTTCTGTGCAAAAATAAATCTTTTTTTTAAAGGTGAGAATTACTAAATTGTGCAGCCATAATTGGAATTATAGATCACATTAAAATTTTGATAGCTTTTGCAATAGCCAAAAAACTAATCAGTTTTCATTTTTGGCATTTAAGGAAAATGTATACTCAGATGTTTCAAAGTAGGGTAGGGTAGCATGACTGGGAGTTGATTCAGAAGCCTGCCTCCTGGCATTTAAATATTTTAGCACTTTAGAAATAGTTCCTTCTTTGGGTAAAATACTCATTTATTTTCTGAAGCATCGTTTATATGTTTAAATGTGGGAGCCTCAATTATGTATTTAGACTTTGCTTTATTTTCAGGAGCTCTGTACCAGTAGAGCCAGGAGATGTCATTCATTTGGAGGGAAAGTGCACATCTGATACTTGGATAATTGATGAAGATTGTGGATATTTGATTCTATATCCAGACATGCTGATTTCTGGCACAAGCATAGCTAGCAGTATACGATGTATGAGAAGAGCTGTGCTGAGGGAAACTTTCAGGGTGAGTAACTTTATCAACTGCTCCTATAGGGACTTTGCATTTATAGAGCACGTTTATGCTTTTATTTCTTCTAACCCTCTCAACAATCCTGTGAAGTAGTTAGTATTTTACTAATCAGTTGCATTAGAGCGGGGGAAATCAGGCTGGGAGAGGTTAAGTGACTCTCCCATTGTTGTGTATTTGCAAAGTGGCAATGCTGTGACTGAATCTTGTCCATACTCAGTAAGTACAAAGTGATACTTTTTATTTTATTAAATCATTTCATTAATGTTTATTAACAAAATCAATATATTCATTAATTTTATTAGTAAATAAATTAACAAATATTTAAATTTATCAATAAATAAAATTAATGAATATATTGAATTTTATTAATAAGTATTAATAGAATAAACTAAGTGATAACTTTTTAATTTAATACCTCTCCCAACTTAGTTTCATGTGATTTTTAATGAATTAAAAATAAATTTTATAGTCTCTAAAGAAAACATTATGTTTTTTCAAACATAAAGAAATAAGTCTCCATGTTGACTTACTCTTGTACCCACATGTTACATTAGTTTGTAAGTCAGTGAAAGCTGAGAATTCTTGAAAAAAATAAATACTTATTTTACACAGTAAAATTAACAGTAATTCCTTAACCTAATGCCGACTTTACCTCCAATCTACTATATTAAAAAAATACCTGTTTTATTCAAAATCAGAATTACAGCTGAGCATGAAGAAAAAAGAAAGAAAAATAAATACCAAAATAAATTTTTAATCTTATTTATCATTTACTGGTAGTATATTTTATCAGCTGTTTTTCTTTAATTGTAGGGAAATAATCAACTTTTAAACTGTATGTATATATATAAAATATATATACATGTATATATATATATATAATTACATATTGTGAAGCAGGTCTACAAATATTTTTTACTTTGGAATAACTTTAAACCTGCATGGAACTTAAAAAGATATACAGGTAGTTCCTTTGTAAAATGAATTTTTAAATTCTTCATTGATGGTTTGTTGGACTTCTAATCATTTGATAGCTTCAGTAGAGAATTCTAGGTTAAACAAGGAGCTTATTGAAAAACATATTTTCTTTTTAAGTAGAGGAATTTCATGTCAAAATTTTGTTGTGAATTTAATTTTTATGTTTCAATAATGGATTTTATTTGCATAAGTTTTAAGAGCTGTGTCACTGACCTTTCTATTTGGGTAGATTATAAAGTGAAATTAGTGACAGCATATACTAAATATTTGAGATTTGGTTGAACCATTCTACTTCTGGTTGGTCTTGTTTTTCAAATGAATTTGTTTTTCAAAATAATTCAAAATAAGTACAATAATTCTGAATAGAAAGTAATAAAAGTAGCTTATAATTTTACTTACTATAACAAAAAAGAAATTTAATATTTGGCATTTGTCTTACCTGTGTACTTTGGCAATGGTGGGTAACATAAGGTCATTGCTGTTAACATTTTCAGAAATAATGTGTTCACATGGTTTTTAAATTTTTTGGTAGACCTCGGATCCAGCCACACGCCAAATGCTGATTGGTACGGTTCTCCATGAAGTATTCCAAAAAGCAATAAGTGAGAACTTTGCCCCAGAAAAACTACAACAACTTGCTTTTCAGACTGTTCAAGAAATAAAGCATCTGAAGGAAATGTAAGTAGCATGGATACGCAAGAAAGTAGAGGTATAATTCTATCATGTACCTCCTTTCCTAAATTCTGTAAGGTATTTGGCTATTCTGTTCAGTATAAATTAATGTAATAGCGGAGTACAGATGCCTGTGCTCAGTAGCCCACTGAAATTCTGTGTAGAGCTTCTGAAATTGCACAGTAGGAACTCGTGCCGAAAATATCAGAACATTCAATATGTGTGCACAGTTGTCAGACTTCTGAAAATTATATGGGTTGGAATCAGATGAATTTAATTTCAACGTCTAGCTTTGCCAGTTTTATGACTTAATAAAGGTCCTGAAAAAGGTAATGACACCTATTTTTCAGACTTTTGTGACAACGCAGTTAATGTACTTAAACCTACTAATTTCTTTTTTTTTTATTACAAAATTTATTTTTACATCATTTTGCACATTTTTTTTTTCCATCTCGATTGTAACTAATTTCTTTTTTAAAGATTTATTTATTCATGATAAAAGAATTGGGGTACAGGCTAGAGGTGTGGAGGGTGAGAGGCTTCACCAGAGACAGAATGGGGAGCAGA